ATTAGATGTGTCTAAAAATTTTAAAAATTACTTAAAATATTAAAAAAAAATTATAAAAATAAAAAAAAAAATTAGAATCTTTTGAAAAGTGAATTATGAAAATAAAAATTAGTGATAACCCTTTTTCCCCTGCAGACCTTTCACACCATCGCTAAGGAGTTGTTTGCGATGTTCTAAATAAGTGTATTTTTTGATTTTTTATGAAATATGAGTTAGGTTTCAAGTGATGTGGTACAGAGATGATGTGACTTAAATAAAATGATATAATTTAAATGAGATAGTACCTTTTTAAATTTTTTAAAGAGAGTTGGTTTACTAGTGTCATGTACAAATTCAATGGATCACTCACGATGGTGATTGGCGTGTGGTGATCTGGAGACCAGGGACTATGGAATAGGAAAAGGTTAGCGCGGCTGATGTGGAGATTATGGTTAGGTTAGCGTTGTTGATGTGGAGACTATGGACGGGAAAAATAGGAAAAGGCTACGTGGAGAACAAGGTGGTGGTGGTGGTGTTGGATGGATGGATTCATGATTTTAATTTTAGGGGATAAAAAATATGTGGTGGTGTTGGATTGATGATTTTAATTTTTGGGGATAAAGAATATGTAATTTTTAATAAATAAAATACAATACTGATTTTCATCAACATATCAAAATAATAATAATAAATTAAATAATATCACTATTACATGGATCATTTTTTACTAACATCAATATATATATTAGCTAAATAGTTTTTATTAATATAATTGAGTATAAAAATATTATCATCACTATAAGAAATTAGAGATTTAACGGCGTTTAATTAATGGCGTTTTATTGTACGTCACTTTTTCTAGCAATTAACGGCGTTTTTTAAACATCGCATTTGATATGAATCAAAACGACCCCGTTTTAGGAATGGAAGACGCTTTGAAATGCCTCCGAATCCTGTCTCCCTACAAACCGTATTTTGTCCCTCCAAACCTTTATTTTCAAAACCCACCGCCGTCTAGTTCGAATCTATCACTCACTCAAATCTCTCACTCTCTTGCTCTCTCTCGATTCTTCTTCAAAGTGATTGCGATTTCGAAATTTCTCAGAGCCAACCTATTTGCATCCGTATGGCTTCAATCTCGTAGTTTCTCACAGAGATTGCGATTTCAAAGTTCAATTTTGAGCACTGCCATCTACAATCTCGGCGATTCATCTTAGAATGACTTCTCGGCGATTTCGATTTTGATTTCAAAGCTCTCTCTGTCTCTCAATTTCGAAGGTCTCTCTACTGATTTGGTTGTTGATTTTTGTTTGTGCAGATCAAGGCATTGCATATGCCGAGATCAAGACATTGAGAGAAGGCAGAAAGGTTCGGATCTACCCCTTTCTCTCTCTATATATATATATATATGATTATCGTATATATATATATGTATATACTATAACCCTCTTCTGTTTTGTTGATTTGATTGTTGCCAAGTAATTGTATATATGCATATATATATATATATATATTCTACACAGTGAAAATACCATATCATAATCTCTGTTTCAGTGATTGATGTTTTGTTTGTGTGAAGTGTTTTGATGTTCTTGATGCTGCTAGTTGACTTGGTTTATCATGAATTTGCTAATGTTCAATGATCCACTAATCTAGTTATAGTTGGTAGTCAATAGTGTTGAATCAGTTTGTAATTTGAGTTATTCAAACTTGAAATCCTGATTTCCAGCTTAATCCTGAGTTACTTGTGAACATATTGATGATTTTGAAATACATTTGAATTAACAACCTATATCCCTTTCCCATTTTGATGTCTTTAGCTTCCATTGTTGTTGGTGAATTGGACTCTTGAAGAAGCTCAGTACAAGGAAGAGAGTAAGAAAGAGAGACGAAAATTCTTCTCTATTTTCTTGGGAAAATAATGTGAAGGAAAACTACTAATAAATTAGGAAAACTACTAAAAGTGTATATCCATCTCTGGTGTATGACAGGTGATAAAATAAAACATAAAATTGCTGTTTCTCATCCGGTTGGGGAAAAAAAATAGTGTTCTTTAATTATTATGTTGAATTTGATTGAATTTTTAAAGCAAAGCATGTACTAAAAAAGTATGACTGAGATTTGTTTTTCTTTTATATTTTAATAGTTAATTTTGGTAACATAAAAATTTTATAACCAATTAACTGTTTCTAATTAGAACTCGCTGTTTATAATAAGAAATAAGAGTTATCTTTTTCATCATTTTTCTTTTAGATCTGTCACTTTGCTTCATTTCTCTCTGCAAACAAATCTTGATCAAATTTTCAGTGGTTTGGTTAACCTAACAGGTTATCACCAAGGCTTGTTGTATGTGTGTAGTCTGGTTTTGAAGGATATTTGGACTGCAAATGACTAATTTGCTTCTGGTTCTTTTTGAAGACTGATTCCTCGATTGATTGACTTTTTAAGTTATTAAAAGATAACAAAACTTGGAACTGAAAATATACTCTGCTGTCATATGAAAGTCTTGATCCATGACCTCAACTCTCTTATTTTTGTTAAAGGTCACACATTGGCATTCCATTAATATATGATCAATGTTCAAACTACTAGTATTCTATAAAACAATTATAATGGGGAACATTCAATTTTTTGCACTTCCTCTTTTTTTATTTCATCGTTTCTGCACAAGTGTATGTTTGTGTGTAGCACTGATCCTGAAATATTCACTTTTTCTAAGGATTCCCTACTGCCGAACGCAGCATGGAGGTACCTGCATGGAAAAGGGGGCTAAGATTCGTGCAAATAAAGAAGTAAAGTTTTGCTGCTGCAGTTCACTCTATTGTGGTACATTTTTGCTAATTTTATTATCTTTAAGCATCTACTTCATCAATTTTAAACATTTATTAGATCTTCCTCTACCTTTCGCAAACTATCACAAGATTCATGCATTAAAAAAATGGGTTTATTGTGAATGATATCATATAATATTTGATTATTTAGCAATCAAATTTGTTCTTTTGTATTAAAAAAGTCCATGTATCAAAATATTTGTTAGCCTCTTTCTTCTGACAAATTTTACTACTGTAGTTCCTCATATAAGCAAAGAGATGGGTTTCCACTGGAGATGCAGCCTCTGGAATAATTTATCCTAGCTTGCCTCAGTTCATTTCCATTGCTGCAGTTTCATCTTTTGCTCTTGGAGCCACTTTGAACACTTTGGTTTTCCCCCAGTTGGGTTGGGTAAGTTAGTCTCTAATGTTCTCTTGTTATGGGAAAACCGAAGCCTGCTAAACTTGCCAACTTTCTGGAGGTAAACTTTGATGTATGCAAGCAGATGATTTTCTATTTTCGCTAGAGATTATAATACAAAATTCTATAACAAACTTTCTTCTCTCTGCAGTGTGACATCTTCGTTTATGTTTCTTGTGCACAAACTGCTCTTTTGGATAGCAAAGAGTTCTTATCTCCTGTTATTACCCCTTTTGAAGCCATGATAGCTTTCAGCAAGTATTGACAGAAAATTCCCCTATTTATTAGTCTAATTATTAGTTAATGGTTCTTAACTCCATCTTAACATATTATTTTTGTAGGTAAAACTAGATTCTTGTTCATCACCTCTAGATATTATGCTCTACCTCTCAAACATGTTCTCAATCTTTCGGAAAATACCCAAACACCATTACACAGCTATAGTGACTGTTGATTAGGCATCCATGAAACAGTAAGCTTCATGAGGAGCCATTTTTGCATCCTATGTGTTAGCAGACACCATACTAAAACTCCTAGAAATGTGTCAGACAGGTGGCCAAAAGAAAAGAAGCATGTAAGGGACACGTGTATACTGGTGGATATAAACTCCAGTATACTTAAAAAGTGATGTTATGATCTTCATTACGCTTATCTTTACACTTTTGCATGAGTTTATATAGTAACTTGTATAATTCAGTCCAATTAATGTATTTGTTGCAAATAGAATGTACATGTTTTTAATTATTGCCATGTACTTGTCATGTCTCTTTCCCCTTTTATACAGTCTGGTGATATCATTTGAGGCTGATTTTCTTATGGAATAGTTTTTTGTAAATAGTTCAGCGGCTATTCCAGCGTTGGCAGGCCTTTGCATGGTGCTGCTCACTGCCTTGTCAATCAAATATGATCAGCAAGATGACTGGATTTATTGGTGACTTCAACTTCATCCCATCTCATACCTGATGTCCTTTGGTCAGGGGCCTTGTTCTTCTTATTGTGACGAGTTTAGTTGGCACACCATTTCCAAGCACCAATCCTTTTTGGCCCGGCCTCCTCTTACTTTGCCATCTGGGCCTCCTTTCCTGGTCTTGCCCATCCTCGTGGGCCTGCCTCTAATTGTAGTTTTTCTCCCTACCACACGTTTAATTGTTAACCCAAGGTTTTGACATGTTCCTTACAACATCTGCTTCAAGGTCTCCTCTCTATGGTTTTTACATTTATTGTTTTTGATACTGTATGCCTAGAATAAGAATCTGGGTAAGAGTAATTATTAAGAGGTGCTAGGACTTTTGTTTATGTCCAATTGTAACTTATTTTGTTTTGATTTCATTTTTTAGGATAAACAAGAAGTATTCATAGAAAAGGTGGTTCGGAAAAGGCAAAAATGCATCACCACTGTGAAAAGCCTGGACCTTTTTGCTAAGAAATCTGCTCGAATTAATTGTTGTGTTTTCTAAATTGTAGATCATTATACTATTTTTCTTCCCCTTAGTATTAAATATTATCTCAATTTGTGGAATAACATTTTAGGTGTAATACTTAAGGGTTAGATGTACGCAGCCTTCCACATGTAGAGAAGTTGTTTCCGTGTTTTGTACTGATGAATGGAAATAAGGAAGTGGAGTAAAACTTGGCGATTAGATTAGAGGTTCAAAACAATAAATTAATTGTGTGGGAAGGGACTGTTTGTCCAAAATTCATGCTTAAAGCATTTTGATTCTCTACAATTACTGTATTTCATCAGTATCCTTGCTTAACATATTATTTTTTGTTTGTTTATGATTTTATTTCTCAGAGGAAGTCAATGGACAGGAGCTTATGTGATGGAATTTCATAATTTGCTGATTTCATTTCCAATGGAATTAAGAGACCAGTTGGAAGAAGCATGATTTTCATTCCTTCAAGGTGGATACGTAGAAGATTTTGAACTGGAAGGTAACTTTGTTTGCTCTTTCGGCATCATTGTTTGAAGTAGTAATGAGTTTTTTTGGAAATAATTAAGAGAAGCAATGGGAGAGTCACTCATGATCTATTCAGACTTGGCAAGAGAGCGAGAAACAATTAAAAGATTGGTAAAACTTATTATTTAGTTTATAATGTTTTTGAATAAAAGAGTAAATTTCTTCTAAATTGTACCAAAATATGACATAGTTTGAAGTTATCTCATGCAAAATAGTTTAAGTTGCCATCAGATGCATCTGAATTAGCTAAGCTAAATAAGTAGCGGACTAGAATGTCTCCTCCCTCTTGGAATTATTCTATTTTTCATTTTATTTTTGAATATTGATTCTCCTCTTTTAGATTTCTTTTCTTTCCTTCTTATTTTCAAGAGTATTTGGAGAGGATAGGTCATTTTTTTGGCAGCATAGTAGGTCTAAGAACAAGAATTTACTGAGTATGAATACATTGTTTCAAATTTTTTGCTCAATTTTTATTTGCAAAGATGCTTTCAAATAAAAAAAAGGGTTTTGTGAACATATGGGCTTTGTATTTTATAATGGATTATAATGAACCGTTTATTTGACTTTTGTTAACTGCAATTTTAAACTTAGAGGTCAGGTTTTCTAACAAGAGGAGATTGATGCAGCTTTTACCGTAACCTTGAGAATATGCAATGGCAATTGATTTTGGTCGTTAAAGTTATATTGTATTTTTATGATTTTCCAACAAGAGGACATTGATGCACCTATTTTCGCCAATATGGCAATTTTGTTCTTCCGGGTTGTGAAGAAAGAACCTGTGCAGAAACCCACTTCATACCTCAAATTATTTAGCTGTTTGTTTCCTTTAATATATCCCTTTACCAGTTCAATAAGGATTATCCGGTGATAAATGTTGTTTACAGTAAAATTATTTATATTGATTGTCCCTGTCTTATTGATATGGCCATTTTACTTTTGAGATTAGAAAACACTCTCCGAAAGGCAGAGGGAAAATCTTTACCAGGTGATTATTTATTTTTTCTACTTGTTTTCCTTGTCCATTAATTTACTTGATGGAAAACTCTCTCTTATTTATTTATTTATTTCCTGTTTTTCTGTAGGTAAGATGGATAAAATCATACATAACCCAAATTTACCTTTTTGGTGTTTTTTTCTACATAGGACAGGAACATGGTAAATGTAATTAATGTTTCTAATATTTTGAATATTTGAATGTGTGGGTTATCAGAGACCAGTGAGGAAAATGAAGATGGAACTCTTGCCTTAGTGAAAGCAATAGAGAAGGCTCTTCAGGTGAGCAACAAGGACCCTAAATCGATAATCAAGGGAACAGCTAAATCTGGGACAGAGTATCTTGCATCTCGATCTTATCACGGTCTTGACATTCAAAGAAACAGTTCCTTAATGCTTCACTCTTTTATCTCGATCTTATTTATATTGATTCGGTTTTTACTCTCTTATTGTTTTTAATGCTTGAAATGGTTGGTTTATTTTTTTATTTTTTTTCTTCTTGCTGCAATTCTTGTTCCTTCAATTGATATTAGTGCTCAATGGAAGACTTGGAAGCTGCTGAAAAGTTGTATATTAGTTATTGGTTAGAACTGGCAACTACTCTTGAATATTGGTTCGATTTATTTTTTATTTTTTTATTGTTGCTGCAATTCTTTTAAATGTTTTTCATCTCACACTGATGAGAGCTACTTTTGAAGTTAAAGTATTACGACTTTTTCTTGACCATTTTGATTTCAGTTGATGTATTTAAAGTTTGAATATGAATTATTTTTATGCTTTGGTATGCAATGCATTGTTCCTTATTTTTAATTTTGTTTTCAAGCTTAGTTTGTTTATTATTTTAATAAACATAAATTATTAGTTCTTAATAATTGTTTATAACAGGTATTTTTTTAGTTCAATCATATAAAATTAGTCCAATTTAAAAAAATAAAAATAAAAAGGCCATGGCAGTGTTTTTTAAATGTCACTATATCCCAATCTCAACGACTAGATTTTTAGAATGTAAAGATGTCTATGACGACATTTTTTAAATGTCACTAAAATATCATGTGACATCATCTTACCATTATGTAGAACTTTTAGTAATATAGTGACGTTTCCAAAGCGCCACAGGGTTATAGCGACAGCCGCGTCTTCGGCGTTCAGTACTAAATATCACAAAAAGATTTGACGGCGTTTTTGAGACTTATAAAACGCTGCCAAAACTCCTATTTCCAGCAGTGCATTAATTGAATATAATATTATTCAACATGATTTTTTATAAGTAATTCACTTACAAGAATTATAATAATCCATATAAGAGCCAATCTTTTTTTCTATAATAAAATTTCACTGCTTTTAGAAGAAAAAAATAATAAAATCACCTTGTGGGTTTCAATTTTCTGAATTTAATTTTCTAAAAGTTGATTTTTTTTAAGGAGGTTAGTATAATTTATCCAAAAATAAGATCATATACATTGTAATTTCACTAGACACACAATTTCTTTGAGCATTTTAAGGGTGTGTCTGGGAAGAAAAAAAGATAGTCAAAAAGATTTTTTAAAAATCACATAAAAAAGTTTTAAAAAATCATATAAAAAAGTTAAAAGATTCATTTTTTACTTACATCATATATATATATATATATTAACTAAATAGAAAAATGGTAATAATATGATTGAGTATAAAAATATAATCATAACGGATTTTTTTTATAAATAATTCACTTACAAAAAATATAACAATCCATATAAAAAACAAATCTTTTTTTTTCTCTAATAAAATTTCACTGCTTTTAGAAAAGGGAAAAAAAAAATCACCTTGTTTGGTTTTAATTTTTTGAGTTTAATTTTTTAAAAATTAAGTTTTTTTTTTTGTTGTATTTTTAGTGATTTCAAGTGTTTTTAGAACAGAGATCTAGTGTTTTTCATTCACTGATTTCTATTTTTTTAAGCTTTGTTTTTGTTATATAAATTTTAATTTTATCAAATCACCTAGGAGGGTAATTTTTGTATCTTTCAAGGTTGGTTTTCTTAGATCTGGGCTAAAGAGACTGATTTATTTACAAACCTCTTTTGATCCTTTTGTATTTGAACAAAATCTCCCCCCAAAAGAAAATTATTGTAGTTATTTTTCTCATGGATTTTTGGTCATCGGTTAAAACATGAATACTAGGACTTCCAAGGTCCAAACCATTCATTTCAACTATGGATTTCCAATAGTTGATTTCAAAATTTTGATTCAGATTAATAGAACAAGAATAATTAGGTTCGGGTGTATCTAGCTCATCACTAGAGGTAGATGGAGAGTAAAGCTCAGCGAGTTCATCTGACTCAGAGCTAGTGTTTGTTTCTTCTTCAGATAAAGTTTGTAAAAGTTGTTGAGCTATAATTGGATCTAAAGACATCTCATTAATTTTCTGTTTTAATTTCGATCTATATCGATTAGCATAATGTCTGATTGCACTACACGTATAGCATTTAATATCTTTTTTAGAAGTGGCTATTTTTTTAACGGTGGTTTTCTTGGTTGGAGAAGAAAACTTTTTCTAGTGAGAGGCGGAAGGAAGACTTTTGGATTTTTTTATAGTGTTTATGATACTATTTGAAAGGCTTCTTATGATAAGATTTCCTGGTTTTGGTTGGATACTGAATTTTGGTGTCATAGGCAAATTGATCACAAAATTCATCTAAGTCTTTTTTGCTGGTAATGTTTTGTTTTCTCATTTGATTTTGAAGTTTAAGGTCATTACACAAAGAAAGACCTTCTTCGAGGATTCGCCCTATAAGTTGGCCATAAGTGTACTGATTATAGGGAATGGCCATGCGATCATGCCGATCCCTAAGTTTTTTTTTTAACTTTTTTTGCAAAAAGAGTAGGAAGGTCATCAATGAATTTGGCTTTCCAATGTTCACTGTTAGCATCAGGTTGTTGCATAACTTTCATTAAGAATACATCTTTATACCAACGAAAATGGGTTAAAGACGGATATCTAAGATTCTGGAGAAGTTCACGACTACGATCATTGTTAACATTAGCAGTTCCAACAAAATGATATATAATGGTTTGAGTTAAGGTATAAACTGCATCTTCTTGGTAAACAGCAGTATCAGTGGTCGGATTAGTTCAATTTTAATTACATTTAAAACTTCATTCTATTGAGAAGGAGTGAGAACATTATCCCACCATCCTTGAAGGATACCTGTAAATCCATTGACAATGAATCGAACTATCTGATGATCAGTATTATTATTTGTTTACATATCGTGGCATACATAAGAATTTGATAGATTAGTTCATAAATATAGTATTCAGAATAACCATCTAATTTCCATTCATAAATGGTATTGCCATGATAAGAATTCTGGGCATGAAAATTGAGAGGGTAATTTTTGGGAAAAATTGGGCCGAGCTGTGAATTGGACTTTGTGGCCCAAAGTACGAACGACTGAGTAAAAAGGCCGTAATGATTACTCCGGCCCAATAGAAATAGTTACTCCGGCCTAAGAAAGACAAAGTTACTTCGCTCAAGAATAGTAAAGCTACTTTAGTCCGGGCAAGTTGGAGCTACGCCGGTCTCAGAGTTAGTCCGGTCGTGATGTATCTTGAATAGGTCGGTCTAGCGGTATTTTTGAGTTAGACCGACCTAGGAGTAATACCGGTCGCGATTTGTTAAGTTTGGTCCAGCTGTGCTATGGGTTGAGCAGAGAACCGAGATGAGGAGTAAAAGCAAAACCGAACTAAGAATAGTTCGGCCTACTCAGTGGCTCTGCATAGCCAAGCTTATTTCGGTCATATCGTAGTTCGGCCAAAGTAAAAACCATCCCACTTGGTTTAAGCAGTGGGGGGGTGTAAAAGGATAAGCATTATCCTTAGGAGTATGAATCCTAGGAGGACTCTGCATGGAGGAATAAAAGTCCTACTAGGATTGTGCCATTTGAAACTTATAAAAGCTCACAAACATCACCTTGGTGGAGGTAACACACAACTTTGCTTTCTGAATTCACAGAGCTTTGTCTATTTGTCAAGTTTGCTGACTTAGGCATCGGAGAGGTTTCCGGCACACACCCGCCGGCTAGCTCACGTTTGTGTTTTCAGGTGACAAAGCGACGTCGTACGGAGGAGCGTGGACTTGGTCAACAGGATTATACGAGGAGAATTATTCTGCTGTAGTAATTCATGGCAGTATAGTTCAAGGTTGTGTAGATTATCTGAAGGGCTGGTTGTCTACTCTGCCTGTTCTGTTTTGGTGCTTGGAAGGGCTATTGTAGTGCCTGATCTGTTTGGTGCTGTGCTGCTGGTCTGAGGCTCAGAATGCTTTGCTATGGGAGCTAGTGCTTTGCTGTTGGTCTGTGTGAATGGGGTGTTCTTGGCAAATGCTATGATCATGTGCCTTATCTGTTTTGCTGCTGTGTTGGATTAAACAAACCTGGTGCTTGGATTGAATGAAGGGCTGCTGTAGTAATTCATGGCAGTATAGTTCAAGGTTGTGTAGATTATCTAAAGGGCTGGTTGTCTACTCTGCTTGTTCTGTTTTGGTGCTTGGAAGGGCTGTTGTAGTGCCTGATCTATTTGGTGCTTGGAAGGGCTGCTGCAGTGCCTGATTTGGTTTTGGTGCTTGGTTGGGCTGTTGTAGAGCCACAGCTTGGAAGGGCTGCTGGTTTAATAGTTTTCCGAACACATACTTTCTGATATTCGATCAATTTGATTTTTTACAGGTATGATGTACATGACAAATTCTAAAATGTGAACGGTTCGGATCATCGAAATTGGGCCCAAAAGTGAACCCAATAGCCCATCAAGTAGGGAGTCAATGAGGGAATCCTTGCTTCGCATTACACATGACTGGTTCGAGTTCGAATGATGTTGACTCTCGCTCTCTATTCATCAGACGTCCTACCAATGTTTGAAACTGAATTTCTAATTTTTTAAATTTTTTTAATGAATTGCATGGTGGGTTAACAAGGCTGGTTAGCTGCTAATTAGTTTTCTTGAGAGATATAGGATTTGCTCTTTTTAGAGATCTTTCTTGACACAATAATGGGGAGGGTATATCTTATTTACTTTGATCAAACTCCAGCTACTCGTTTCTACCTCTGCAGTGCCTGCCCAATACACATGGCCTTACGACAAAAGTGCCTTGGCCACTTCGAGGTAATCTTTCTCTCTCTGCAGAATTAATTGAATCAGTTTTTGATGATTTCTTAGTATTGTTCGTTGTATATATAATATGAAGTCCTTGATACATGCCAAGGCAGTCCTTTCGTATTTTTTGTTCTGTTTTGTTGGATATGGTGCCACTTGGTGATTAAATTTTTTGCGGCCAAAGCCTGTTTTACGGCAACCATTGTCATCATTTTGTTATCATATTTTTTGTATAACAATCAAACACTAGATAATCTCCCATTCCCATGTCTGTTCTACCACAGACTACTTCACAAACCACGTAAACATCCCACAAGGAAAAAGAAAATCATGAAATAACCAACAATATCAGAACTCAAATTTGTTGAACTTTATACGGGGAGGAAGATCTTGTCGAGCTGAGTCCGCTACTGAAAAGCCCAGCTCCAGAAAATATTCCACGCGCGCTCACGCACCTCCTAAAAATGGCGGGTGAGTTTCTTTACCTGCCACACACCAAACGCGTTGTCACACCAGTCTCACTTACACGCACGACACGCGGCCGATGGAAGAAGGAGAGTGCACTGCGCGTTATCGCCACGTCATCGACATGTGGATGCCATGACATCGCCACATGGACGCCACGTCAGCATCGCGTGGATGCCACATCATTGCCACATGGATGCCACGCCAACGGGGATGTCCATGTGGCTGCCACGTGTCTCACACGTCATCGCCACGTGGCAGTCACGTCAGCACATTGTTGACTGGTCAAACTATCGGGTTGACCCGACTGAGAAACAAAGGGGTTATTCGGTGCGGCTAAGGTATGTCCGCAGATCTGAACCATCGAACTTATTTTTGCTAAATGTAAGCCATTTGAAGTCCGATTTTGGTGAGCCAATAGTGGTTTCCAACTATTTCGAGTATTCCGGAGAGATCTATATGGTCAGATTTTTGAATCAGAGTTTTTGTAAAAAGTAAGAAGACGATAAAGGAATCCACATCAAACTCAAGATCGATGATAAAGTTAAATCCTTCAAATTTTGCAATCTGAAAGCCTCATATGAAAGAAATCCTATATTTTAAAGACCTATTTGACCCTATTGCTCTAAAAGGGGTTAAACCGGAAGAAATGAAGGAGAAAGACTGGATAAAGATGAATCAAAAGATTGTCGGTTGTATCAGACAGTAGATAGACCACAGTATGTTCCACCACGTTGCGCCAAGAGACAAATGCATATGTCCTCTGGACAATGTTAGAAGGAATGTACTAGTCAAAGACCGCCTGAAACAAGGCCTCGGTGATGAGAAGGCTTATAAATCTGAAATTCAAGAATGATGTGTTTGTCGTCGAGCACACCAGTGAATTCAAGAATCTGGAGAATCAACTTGCAACCGTAAAGAGTTTTTCTTCAATCTTCTTTGCGGATTCAAGAATGTTATTGTAGATTCAACAATTCTCGTTTACTAAAACTGTATATAGTTCTTGTTTTGTCTACTAGATTCATTACTTGTTCTTGTTTTGTCTACTAAGTTATAAGTTAAAAGGACACTGGTTATGATTAATATGGTATTAGTTATGATATAAAATCATAGAAATTCAAAACTAGTGTGTGAATGGTGACTCTCGCTCTATAGGTAGGGTGAATAAACGTTAACCCTCTTTGGCATGAATCAGGATCCTCTCCTTGAGGTTCCTACTTGATTTCTTACTTGCTGGGCCATTGGGCCTACTTTTAGGGTCAATTTTGATAATCCGAACCGTTCACATTTTAAGATTTATTAAGTGTTTCATACCTGTAAAAAATCAAATTGATCGGATATCAGAAAGCATGTGTTCAGAAAACTGCTTATTAAACTTTTAAGAAAAATAGTTTTTAGTTAGTTTTCCGAACACATACTTTCTGATATTCGATCAATTTGATTTTTTACAGGTATGATGTACATGACAAATTCTAAAATGTGAACGGTTTGGATCATCGAAATTGGGCCCAAAAGTGAACCCAATAGCCCATCAAGTAGGGAGTCAATGAGGGAATCCTTGCTCCGCATTACACATGACTGGTTCGGGTTCGAATGATGTTGACTCTCGCTCTCTATTCGTCAGACGTCCTATCAATGTTTGAAACTGAATTTCTAATTTTTTAAATTTTTTTAATGAATTGCATGGTGGGTTAACAAGGCTGGTTAGCTGCTAATTAGTTTTCTTGAGAGATATAGGATTTGCTCTTTTTAGAGATCTTTCTTGACACAATAATGGGGAGGGTACATCTTGTTTACTTTGACCAAACTCCAGCTACTCGTTTCTACCTCTGCGGTGCCTGCCCAACACACATGGCCTTACGACAAAAGTGTCTTTGCCACTTCGAGGTAATCTTTCTCTCTCTGCCGAGTTAACTGTATCAGTTTTTGATGATTTCTTGGTATTGTTCGTTGTATATATAATATGAAGTTCTTGATACATGTCCCCTATTTATTAGTCAAATTATTAGTTAATGGTTCTTAACTCCATCTTAACCCGTTCAGTCTTTCAAACCATCTATTAGCATTTCGTTATAATCAGTTTGGCCTCATGGCTTTTCTGCTAGTCTAGTTTTTTCTGCAAAAGGCATGTGTGCAAAAAAGAATTTGCTTCCAGGCATTGTCAGTATTCCACCACATGTTCTGATATGTATTTGATTTTTTTTTTTTTTTTCTTCTATAAGCATCTTGCAAAGCTGAAACTCACATCATCTATAATATGTCTATTTTGATATTTTAGATCTATTCACCTATCATGTTTCACAAATTTAATCTGATTGGATGCCTCAAATTTGTGAGAAATCTTTATCTAGATACTTCTTTGTTCCACAAATCTATGAAATGACTTATCAGAGAAAATATCTATGTAGTTAATTTGTTTCTGCCTACTTTTTTATATACTTGAAGGGAGTCCCATTGTCCCGTACAAGTTTGCATTTTGCAGATCCAAATCTTCTCCATTATGTAGTTGTGATGGAGGATCTCTTTAACATCATCCAGTGGTTCTAAAATAGTCTTATCAAGTTATCATTATTTCAAATTAAGAAAAAGTCATTACAAATTATTATTATTATTATTATTATTATTATTATAAAACTATTAGATGATGTAATGTAGAGGATCTCAATCCACATTTTGCAACTTGAATGTGGAGAAATTGATGTGTAGCAATATGTTTTGGTGCAAAGTCCAATAGCACTTGGATATATAACTAAATATTCAAAAAGGACCTTTTTCCAAATAAAAAAGAAATAGTGTATCATATAAACTCTTTTGGAGAAAGAAAGGTTGATTCCCCAGCGGAAGTCAAAGGACAGGAGCTTATGTGATGGAATTTCAGAATTTGATGACTTCATTTCCAATGGAATTAAGAGACCAATTGGAAGAAGCACGATTTTCATTCCTTCAAGGTGGATATGTAGAAGATTTTGAACTGGAAGGTAACTTGTTTGCTCTTTTGGCATCGTTGTCTGTAGTAGTAATGAGTTGTTTGGAAACAATTAAGAGAAGCCATGGTAGAGTCATTCATTATTTATTCAGACTTGGCGAAAGAGTGAGAAACAATTAAAAGATTGGTAAAACTTCTTATTATTTAGTTTATAATGTTTTCGAATAAAGAGTAAATTTCATTGTACCAAAAGATGACATAGTTTGAAATTATCTCATGCAAAATAGATTAAGTTGCCATCAGATGCATTTGAATTAGCTAAGCTAAATAAGTAGGGGACTAGAATGTCTCCTCCCTCTTGGAATTATTCTATTTTTCATTGTATTTTTGAATATTGATTCTCCTGTTTTAGATTTCTTTTCTTTCCTTCCTATTTTCAAGAGTATTTGTAGAGGATAGGTCATTTTTTGGTACCATAGTAGGTCTAAGAATGAGAATTTACTTTGAGTATGGATACATTGTTTCAAATTTTTTGCTCAATTTTTATTTGCAAAGATGCTTTCAAATAAAAAAAGGGTTCTGTGAACATATGGGCTTTGTATTTTATAATGGATTATAATGAACCGTTTATTTTACTTTTGTTAACTGCAATTTTGAACTTCGAGGTCAGGTTTTCCAACAAGAGGAGATTGATGCATCTTTTACTGTTACCTTGAGAATATGCAATGGCAATTGATTTTGGTCGTTAAAGTTATATTGTATTTTTATGATTTTCCAACAAGAGGACATTGATGCACCTATTTTCGCCAATATGGCAATTTTGTTCTTCCGGGTTGTGAAGAAAGAACCTGTGCAGAAACCCACTTCATACCTCAAATTATTTAGCTGTTTGTTTCCTTTAATATATCCCTCTCCCAGTTCAATAAGGATTATCCGGTGATAAATGTTGTTATTATTTATATTGATTGTCCCTGCCTTATTGATATGGCCATTTTACTTTTTAGATTAGAAAATACTCTCCGAAAGGTAGAGGGAAAATCTTTACCAGGTGATTATTTATTTTTTCTACTTGTTTTCCATGTCCATTAATTTACTTGATGGAAAACTCTCTCTTATTTATTTATTTATTTCCTGTTTTTCTGTAGGTAAGACAGATAAAATCATACATAACCCAAATTTACCTTTTTGGTGTTTTTTTCTACATAGGACAGGAACATGGTAAATGTAATTAATGTTTCTAATATTTTGAATATTTGAATGTGTGGGTTATCAGAGACCAGTGAGGAAAATGAAGATGGAACTCTTGCCTTAGTGAAAGCAATAGAGAAGGCTCTTCAGGTGAGCAACAAGGACCCTAAATCGATAATCAAGGGAACAGCTAAATCTGGGACAGAGTATCTTGCATCTCGATCTTATCACGGTCTTGACATTCAAAGAAACAGTTCCTTAATGCTTCACTCTTTTATCTCGATCTTATTTATATTGATTCGGTTTTTACTCTCTTATTGTTTTTAATGCTTGAAATGGTTGGTTTATTTTTTTATTTTTTTTCTTCTTGCTACAATTCTTGTTCCTTCAATTGATATTAGTGCTCAATGGAAGACTTGGAAGCTGCTGAAAAGTTGTATATTGGTTATTGGTTAGAATTGGCAACTACTCTTGAATATTGGTTCGATTTATTTTTTTATTTTTTTATTGTTGCTGCAATTCTTTTAAATGTTATTCATCTCACATTGATGAGAGCTACTTTTGAAGTTAAAGTAATACGACTTTTTCCTTACCATGTTGATTTCAATTGATATATTTAAAGTTTGAACATGAATTATTTTTATGCTTTGGTATGCAATGCATTGTTTCTTATTTTTAATTTTGTTTCCAAGCTTAGTTTATTTATTATTTTAATAAACATAAATTATTAGTTCTTAATAATTGTTTATAACAGGTACTTTTTTTATTTTTTATTTTTTGAACACCAGGCAAAGAACCATATATATTAACCATAGGACAAGGAGATTTTAAAATGTTTGAGTAAAAGCATCGATATAGTCCCAATAACTATACCGGGTTTCCCTGTTACGAATGTCAAGGTGACGAGTAGTATGCGGATGAATACCCCATGTGGCAATGGGCATAATGTTTATGATAGTAATTTTACTATACTGGATGGGACTAGCGGTTTTGGAGGGATCATGCAAAGTATGCTTGATCTTCGCAGCTACAGTTTCAATAAGTATCTGTTCATAAACATATTTGTACTGGTCAAAATGAGGAGGAAATTGTTGCGTGGTAAGATAATCTTGATTTCCCATGGATCAAACATCCATTGTTCATCTGTAAGAAAATGAATTTATGTTTGAAGAAAACTAATTTGTTTTTCTTTAAAAGTAACTAAATTACGAATTTGATCTAGCACTTTTGTGTAGGGTTCTGTTATAAATTCAAAAATAAGTGGTTGATTACTGATAGTCGTGTGAATGCCTATAGGATCAATTTTAGTGATAGGCATTAAAAGACATAAAAATGGCATTCCCAAAATGATTGTTGGGGACATATTTCTGATAAGGACAAAAGATGTAAATAAGCAAATGCCCTGATTACAGATAAGAGCTTTAGGTATCTTATACTTGATGTGCATAGAATTACCACTAGCACTAGTAAGTGATTGAGTAGTTTTTTGAAAGTATCTGGTGGGAATTAATCATTCACATATACAATTCATGTCAGCACCACTATCAACAAGGGCTATTACATCTTTAATAATAAAATCAGGTTGAATAACAAAAGTAATACGTATATACCATTTTTGAAATGTAACCTGATTAACAAGCATTAAATACTAGTTATCTTCCTGTGCTTACTGTCCAAAAGTTTTTGGAGCTTTAGCGTTACCTATCTGCTTCTTAGTTTTAAGCTGTCGTATATCAGTTTGTAGAAAAGGGAAAAAAAAATTTCGCTGCTTTTAGAAAAGGGAAAAAAAAAAAAAAAAAATCACATTGTTTGGTTTTAAATTTTTGAGTTTAATTTTTTTAAAATTAAGTTTTTCTATTTTTTGTATTTTTAGTGATTTCAGGTGTTTTCAGACAGAGATCTAGTGTTTTTCATTCACTGATTTCTATTTTTTTAAGCTTTGTTTTTGTTATATAAATTTCAATTTTATCAAATCACCTAGGAGGGTAATTTTTGTATCCTTCAAGGTTGGTTTTCTTAGATCTGGGCAAAAGGGACTAATTTATTTACAAACCTCTTTTGATCATTTTTTATTTGAACAAAATCTCCCCCAAAACAAAATTATTGTAGTTATTTTTCTAGGTTTTTCTTGTTTTCTTTAAAATCTTTTCTTGGTTTTGGTTTTAGTTTTGGTTTAAAAACATGTTGATCTTCTTGTTATTGCTTTTGGTTCTTTGTAAATTTCATGTTAAGGAATGACAGCAACAATGGATTCATGGAGTAGTAGCTCACTATTTCACTCAGATTCAGACCCATTTACGGGTAGTAACTCCGACGTGGAAGCAGAAGGAGAAGAAGAAGAGAGGAGATGATGTAGAACAAAATTTTATAATTTTATAATTTTTATATTTCTGAATTTTATTATTTGGAAATTACATTTTGACAAGGACTTTAAATAGTTTAGAATATTAGTTTTCTATTCTCTTAGGTATCTTAATTTGTGTTAATTTAAGTTTCTTAATTTATTTTAAAATTACTATTTCTACAAATATTAGGTTTATTTTATTATAAATAAGCCTACGAGTATACGTAATGGATTCATTCAATGAACAATGAATAATATTTTAAAGAGTTTTTCTTCTATCTTCTTTGCGGATTCAAGAATGTTATAGTAGATTTAAGAATTCTCGTTTACTAAAACTGTATAAAGTTCTTTTTTTGTCTACTAGATTCAGTACTTGTTCTTGTTTTGTCTACTAAGTTATAAGTTAATAGGAGACTGGTTATGATTAATATGGTATTAGTTATGATATAAAATCATAGAAATTCATAACTAGTGTGTGAATGGTGACTCTCGCTCTGTAGGTAGGGTGAATAAACGTTAACCCTCGTTGGCATGAATCAGGATCCTCTCCTTGAGGTTCCAACTTGATTTCTTACTTGCTGGGCCATTGAGCCTACTTTTAGGCTTAATTTTGGTAATCCGAACCGTTCACATTTTAAGATTTATTAAGTATATCATACCTGTAAAAAATCAAATTGATCGGATATTAGAAAGCATGTGTTCGGAAAACTGTTTACTAAATTTTTAAGAAAAATAGTTTTTAGCTAGTTTTCCGAACACATACTTTCTGATATTCGGTTAATTTGATTTTTTACAGGTATGATGTACATGACAAATTCCAAAATGTGAACGGTTTGGATCATCGAAATTGGGCCCAAAAGTGAACCCAATAGCCCATCAAGTATGGAGTCAATGAGGGAATCCTTGCTCCGCATTACACTTGACCGGTTCGGGTTCGAATGATGTTGACTCTCGCCCTCTATTCGTCAGACGTCCTATCAATGTTTGAAACTGAATTTCTAATTTTTCAAATTTTTTTAATGAATTGCATGGTGGGTTAACAAGGCTGGTCAGCTGCTAATTAGTTTTCTTGAGAGATATAGGATTTGCTCTTTTTAGAGATCTTTCTTGATACAATAATGGGGAGGGTACATCTTATTTACTTTGACCAAACTCAAGCTACTCGTTTCTACCTCTGCGGTGCCTTCCCAACACACATGGCCTTACGACAAAAGTGTCTTGGCCACATCGAGGTAATCTTTCTCTCTCTGCAGAGTTAACTGTATCAGTTTTTAATGATTTCTTGGTATTGTTCGTTGTATATATAATATGAAGTTCTTGATACATGCCAAGGCAGTCCTTTCGTATTTTTTGTTCTGTTTCGTTGGATATGGTGCCACTTGGTGATTAAATTTTTTGCGGCCAAGGCCTGTTTTACGGCAACCATTGTCATCATTTTGTTATCATATTTTTGTATAACAATCAAACACTAGATAATCTCCCATTCCCATGTCTGTTCTACCACAGACTACTTCACAAACCACGTAAACATCCCACAAGGAAAAAGAAAATCATGAAATAACCAACAATATCAGAACACAAATTTGTTGAACTTTATACTGGGAGGAAGATCTCGTCGAGCTGAGTCCGCTACTAAAAAGCCCAGCTCCAGAAAATATTCAACGCGCGCTCACGCACCTCCTAAAAATGGCGGGTGAGTTTCTTTATCTGCCACACACCAAACGCGCCGTCACACCAGTCACACTTACACGCACGACACGTGGCCGATGGAAGAAGGAGAGTGCACTGCGCGTTATCGCCACGTCATGGACATGTGGATGCCATGGCATCGCCACATGGACGCCACGTCAGCAACGCGTGGATGCCACGTCATTGCCACATGGATGCCACGCCAACGTGGATGTCCATGTGGCAGCCACGTCAACATCACGTGGCTGCCACGTGTCTCACACGTCATCGCCACGTGGCTGTCACGTCAGCACATTGTTGACAGGTCAAACTATCGGGTTGGCCCGACTGAGAAACAAAGTGGTTATTCGGTGCTACGCGGCTAAGGTATGTCCGCAGATCTGAACCATCGAACTTATTTTTGCTAAATGTAAGCCATTTGAAGTCCGATTCTGGTGAGCCAATAGTGGTTTCAAACTATTTCGAGTATTCCGGAGAGATCTGTATGGTTGGATTTTTGAATCAGAGTTTTTGTAAAAAGTATGAAGACGATAAAGGAATCCACATCAAACTCAAGATCGATGATAAAGTTAAATCCTTCAAATTTTGCAATCTGAAAGCCTCATATGAAAGAAATCGTATATTTTAAAGACCTATTTGACCCTATTGCTCTAAAAGGGGTTAAACCGGAAGAAATGCAGGATAAAGACTGGATAAAGATGAATCAAAAGATTGTCGGTTGTATCAGACAGTAGATAGACCACAGTATGTTCCACCACGTTGCGCCAAGAGACAAATGCATATGTCCTCTGGACAATGTTAGAAGGAATGTACTAGTCAAAGACCGCCTGAAACAAGGCCTTGGTGATGAGAAGGCTTATAAATCTGAAATTGAAGAATGATGTGTTTGTCGTCGAGCACACCAGTGAATTCAAGAATCTGGAGAATCAACTTGCAACCGTAAAGGATTTTTCTTCTATCTTCTTTGCGGATTCAAGAATGTTATTGTAGATTTAAGAATTCTCGTTTACTAAAACTTTATATAGTTCTTGTTTTGTCTACTAGATTCATTACTTGTTCTTGTTTTGTCTACTAAGTTATAAGTTAATAGGACACTGGTTATGATTAATATGGTATTAGTTCTGATATAAAATCATAGAAATTCATAACTAGTGTGTGAATGGTGACTCTCGCTCTGTAGATAGGGTGAATAAACGTTAACCCTCTTTGGCACGAATCAGGATCGTCTCCTTGAGGTTCCTACTTGATTTCTTACTTGCTGTGCCATTGGGCCTACTTTTGGGCTCAGTTTTGATAATCCGAACTGTTCAAATTTTCAGATTTATTAAATATATCATACCTGTAAAAAATCAAATTGATCGGAAATCAGAAAGCATGTGTTCGGAAAACTGTTTATTAAATTTTTAAGAAAAATAGTTTTTAGTAAGTTTTCCGAACACATACTTTCTGATATTCGATCAATTTGATTTTTTACAGGTATGACGTACATGACAAATTCTAAAATGTGAACGGTTTGGATCATCGAAATTGGGCCCAAAAGTGAACCCAATAGCCCA